GTTCCTAGGCATCTGTCAAAGACATGGTATTGAGGCCAAATCAAAGACGCTGCTATACTTCGTCTATGTGAGCCCACAGAGCTCGACCACATACAGGACCTCCCTCGTAGAGTTTCCTTTTCAGTCTACTCCAGTATGCCTCAATGGCGTTGGTGTGCCGTCCGGTGGTAGGGTCCTTGAAGTTCTTTGGGTGGTTAACAGATAAATGTAGATAACCTCCTGACAGAAGACGATTATACGCCTTCCACTCGTCCGTTACCACTATACTGCTTTGGCGACCCATTTTGTAATAACGGAACGGAGAGCGGACCAACTTCGATCATTCACCTATTCAAATAAGGCTTTCTGTCGGCTAGTATCGTACATCCCGACCAGCCACCACCCATAAAACCCCAACTGCCACCTGTCCCGTAAGACAGGCTGCTTTGGTTAGACGGATTTTTTTGGGTGCCATCTCCCAATTGTTACCAAATCTTGTTCTTAGCTCCTTTTTTCACCCTATATCAGCTAAAGTATTGGTAACCCGAAGTGTAAGGCAGGGAAATGAGAGCCTGCCCGTAGTACAGGTGGCTTCTTGCTAAGGTCTAGGGCGATCGTGGTTAGGATGAAGGTCAGTATATAATAGTGCTTTACATAGTAGTATATCTAGGGTAATGGACATGCCCTTGATGACCCTATTGAAAATGGTACATACAATATCCATGTTAAACACACAAGTTACTAAAATTGTGCCAGTAACATATTCGTTTTCAAAAAACGTTTTTGCATTGCGGAACTGCGAGGGTTACGGCAGGCGATCTTTTCCATGTACATTTGTGATCATAAATGCAACTATATACAATCAGGGTTAAGTTTATGGTCAGGGTTAAGAACAGGAGTTAGAGTTAAGCCTGTGGTTAAGGTCAAAGTTTGACCAAAATCAATATTATGGATAGGGTTAGAACACGGGAACAGGTACCCTTCATGGAATTTATCACAGGGCCACCTGTATTAAGGAAAGTTCCTATTCCCGCGTCTTGTCCCTTGAGAGAGGGTCTTTTTTTCGAGAGTATGAGCAAAAACAAAACATAGGGACTTTTGAGACTTTCGAAAGTACTGCTTTTGACCTCAAAGATAGGCCGAAATATTAATCCCGACCGTTGTTCGTAGAAAAAAGAAACAATTCAAGCGATTGGCAGTCTCAAACTCGAACAATGTCACCGAAGTCCTCATAAAAAGCAGAGAGAGAGAGAGGAATGCGCTTTATTTTGAACATTTCTCATGCTTGGTTAATATGGAAACTTGAAAACGAGGGATTAATTTTAAAAATCTTATCCCTTATATAGTCTGGTAGCCGCGGTTGGCATCAACTAATGTCATTGTCACACGAAACTGAATTTGCAGACCTAGAGCCTACCATTATGGAAATTTTTCTAAATTCTATGAACTGCTCTACTCACTCTCATCCAGTAGCGTTATCCATTCTACCCTAAATGTGGCATTGAGGCTGAATTTTCTGTTTTGCCCTGGGACTGAGGGCTTAAGCCAACGAAAGAGTTCATATGGCGAAAAGCAATAAGTAATCGGTCCGGCTTAACCTCATGGACAAAGTGTATGGAACGACATTTTCTGACCCGTGGGCTGTTATCAGCCAGAGATATTCCAAACCTGGACTGCACACGAGGAGAGATTATTCCGTTATCACTAGCTTTGTCAGTAAAATTTAGCAAGGACATGATTCAGTACCCGGGAGTGGCATTCCGATAATTTAATCCAGTTTCTGTTGTCTCTGTAGGTATTCTATCTACGGGATCCGTTTTCGCATTTACATTTTCATCCGCAAACCTTCAAATAAATTTTCGCCAATTTTCTCAGAGAGCCATATCGGATGGTTGCATCTAACGGCCTGCGTTTTTGGCTCTTCTCTGTTTCGTAGCCTTTATCTGAAAAGTAGATTTCCACAGCTAATCACGTCATAATACATTCCAAAAGTTTCATCTACTCGCAAATGTCAGTAGGCAATATTACAAGTTAAAAACATTCTCATATGTATTTCTCAAGTGCAGTATGTGACCTAAATTTACGAAAGATTGTTGGTCACTTGCAAGCCGGCACAAATGGGTGGACCCAAACGCATAATTAATGTTGGGCGACTTTAAGCAAACTGAAGACATCAAAGAGGTATTAACAGTTATGTTACATCGTTTAGACATTCGGATTTTTTTAGAAAAGCGGAAATTCCGAGAACGTCAACAACCACGAATGGAGGAGCATATGCGCATCCCAGGTTCTTGTTTAAAAGAAGACGAAGGCACGATTACTGGGACAGTAGATTTATTTGCCTTTCTAAAGCTCAGGCAAATAAATCTACTGTCCCAGTGATCATGCCTTCGCCTTCTTTTAAACGTCAACAACAGTTGCAACTGAGAAAACTTGGGTTTTAGGGATACAGAAAGCTTACCCACGCAAAGAAAACTGAGTAACTAAAGCAGCACGGATCGAATAAAGTCTGAGCATAGTTTCTTTGCCTTTTAGGAAAGTTTGTAAATACCCTTCAAGAACAAGCGTAATGTCAAGTATGACGGTTAACCAGTAGTTGCTAGGGTGCACTGAATCTCAGATCTCCCGTAAAATGTCAGTGTACACTTCGTGGTTTTTGGTGCTTTCAGTGGATTGTTCATAAAGGTGCCTTGTGATTGTCAAAATTTCAAGCCAAGTTATTTCTTGAAAGTATTTGCCGAAGTGTTGAGTTCTTGGACATTCTTTGAATACAGATGGCCGTGTGGGTCATCGTTTTAGACTCATACAAACATGGAAGCTAATTGCCGAGAAAAATTGACCTGCACAACGAAAGTCGGCGAGGAATACGTCCAAGATCAATTGAAGCGCTTTCTCTATAAGTTGTCCATATTAAAGGCGTTTCGATAAAGCTTTTAACCTGCGGATGTCTGCGTACTTTGCCGTTTTCCAAAAAAGTACATGTACGAATTAGATGGTCTGTTAGGTTTTTTCAGCTTCCCGGAAAACAGTGACATTTTTCTGCCGTAAACAAAAGAACTCGCTTTCCTCTTTATATTGGAACCATTTTTGCTAGATTTGCCAACTTTTAGGCTGTTCTACGATTGCAGATGCATAGCAGGGTGCCCATACAAACAGTAAGATATTGCTAAGACTGCCAATCTTCTTGCCATTCTGTCTCCAAATATCACATTAGCGGAAATTAGATCATGCAAATAGTACTATTCCGTATGCTTAGAAGTTAACTTTGTAACGGGCCTTTTCGCGGTAAACTATGAGTATTCTCAAACGACAGAAAAATGTCAGAATTTTTAAACACGGCATTGTCTGTATGCCCTATTACTGCAATTTGAAACAAAAAAATCATGAAGATTTGCAAAACGGATTTTTTAAATTGAAAGAACGCCCGGTTTTCTAAACAAATAACTTTGTTTGCACCTAGCCTCTTCTGATTCACGTGGAGAAAAAAATCAATTTTCAAATACGGAAAGTTCCGTTCGGTAAACCTTCACTTTAGATTACTGCCATTTAAAAACACCCGCGGATGTACAGGCTTGGTCTAGAACAACTACTAGCATAGGAAACTGCTCGAACACAAGATGAAGTAGATTTCCGCTGAAATTTATAAACCATTTGACTGATACAACTATTTATAAGCGTAGGCTACACGCCCAAAGGACACTTTGCCGGAACGGTTGGTGAGTAAATAAGGAAGGCAAAATTGTACGCGCCTAAAACTGATCGTCTCCATTTCCGCCATATCGTTTCCTGAGTTCGATCACGTGATATTCCGACCGTCATGACCAACAACGTCCACCGAAGGCAGGGCGAGAGGGGGGACGGTGACCTGCGCTGCATCCGCTGCACTCTATTCTTCCTGTGACAAGACAGGGGCGGGAGAGGGGGCAGATGTCTGGCGCGACTTAAACCCTCACCTAGGCGTACCGCCACACCACTTAGTGCAGAATGTGCAACTGATAAAGATTTTACATAACAAGAGAATACGGAGGTGGACGGCTCTGATTCCAACTAGTGGCCACAGCAATAAGGAGCCTGACTCTCAGTTCACCAGTTGGTTATTCCAGGCAAACATACACACTGGGCCGACTGCAAGGCAAGAATTATTCCGTCAGTTTCAACCTTCCAAGCCACGGCTGTAAACGGACCATGACATATTTAGGCTTGTCAGATTGTTTGCGATGCTATCAGGCTACTGTCCGAGCCGGACAACCAACAGATGCTCAGATTGGGAGAGGTAGAGGATAGAGCCGAGGCCAGCTTGTTTGTGCGTGCCACGCACGACAGTTCAGTAGTTCGGCCGTCGTTGCCGACGATGTCCACCGTGCCTGCTCCATAACAAGGCGGAGTTGGTGATTAACGTTCTGCTTATAGAGATGCACGATTGTAACGTCCTTGAAATTCTGCGGGACTTCTCCTTGATGCCACATCTCCTGGAAGAGTGATCCATTAGTTGGGACCTGCCGCACTTGTAAATCTCTGCAGGGGTCGCGTCCGATCCGGGCACTTTCCCGCTGGAGAGCTGTTGCACGACCTTGATGGTTTCGTGGAGAGGGGGCGTTGGTCTCCACTTGAGGCAGACGGACGATGACGGTGTCGGAGATGGTGAAGGGACGGCTGACGACTTCTTCTAAGTGCTCGGTCCATCACCGTAGAATTTGTATCTTCCCAGTGAGGAGGGCACTGTCGTTGGAGCTGAGAAAAGGAACAGTTGCTTTAGTTGGCGGATCGTAGACAGCTTTGATCGAGAAGAAGATGTTTTTCCATTCGTTGCGGTTCACATACTCTTGGATCTACTCGGCCTTGAGAGTTATCCAAACATCCTACATTTCGTGCAGCCGCTGTTTCACAAGGCTGCGACTACGATATAAGTCTGCCTTGTTGTCGTCGATGGGGGGAGGGGATGACGTAGGTTTGTGCAGGCAGCTCTTCTCAGCAAACAGGTTTCTGATGACTGCGTCGTTGTCATCTAACTAGTCTTGATGTTAGCGACATGCGCGACCGAAAACGGTCAGGGCCGTCGACTGGACTGTGCCCCACAGTTGATGCCATCGGTTCTCCACGGAGGCGTTCTCGGCGGTTGCGGCGACGGCTGGAAAGTCGGGTAGCCTTTGAGCTAGTTCATAGCTGAAATGACGATGGTGAGCAGACAAAGATAACAAAACAATATTTAGGTTAGCAGGTTGTCGCTTACCTTAAAGTATTCTGCAAGGCTATGGGCGAATCCGCATCTTCGAGATGAGGAGGCGGTAGTCGGTCCACCCGTCAGCACCCGGGATTGCCTTTGTCACCAGCACTTTCCGCTGGTCTCGCCTCCGGACGAGAACATAGTCCTGCAGGTGCCACTGACGCGACCGAGGATGCCTTCAGGTGGTCTTCTCTACCATCCAGAGGCGCAAGAAGGTGTTGATCAGGATGGGACGGTGTTCTGCGCAGGTTCGTAGTAGGAGCAGGCCATTGTCGTTGGAGCCTTCGAGACCATTGGGATCCAACACCTCTCTCCAGGTGGCATGGTCTGTGCCGACGCGGGCATTGAAGTCACCACTTATCCGCCTTCGGCACAGTCGGTGGGAGGGCATGCAGGTCCTCGTAGAATTTGCTCCTTGCAGCCTCAGGGCTGGTCATCGGAGAAGCGTAGGTGTTGACGATGGTGACGAATTTGCCTCCCCGGGGAGACAGGCGGAGGCTCATCAGACGATCGTTGACGCCCTGCAGCAGATAGGTCAGTCGTCCCATGATGCCGTTCTAAATGGCAAAGGCGATGCCCGCGTCCCGTCGCTCCGTCTTGGGACGACCGCTCCAGAAGAAGGTGTAGCCGGCACCCACCTCCTCCAGTTGGCCATGTTCAGAGAATCGGGTCTCGCTGAGTGCGGCGACGTCCACCTTTTAGCGCGCCAGGTCCCGAGCCATTAGCGCTGTCCTCCATTCCGGTCGGTTGCTACTCGGATTGTCTAAAAGAGAACGAAGATTCCAGGCTGCCAGAGTGAGCGGACTCACCCTGCCAGTCTGGCGATCACGGCTGCGAAAAGGAGGAGGGGAAGAAGAAGAAGAAGAAGAAGAAGAAGAAGAAGAAGAAAAAGAAAAAGAAGAAGAAGAATAGGCAGGAGGAGAAAGTTTCGGTGTTGTTTCGGCTTTGGCTGTTTCGACCGTGTGCTTCTTGTCTGCGGCCACGGTCAGCCTACAGACAGCTTGGTGCCCAGCAATTTTCAGGGCACCTTTTCTAGCCCCTTCCCCCTCGCATGGACAGGCAGCGCTACCCCTAAATAGGGCTGCCCGGTTATCCCAGACGGTTGCCGAACTCCACTATGGGTCGACACCATATTTGTAAGATTGCCTTTCCCAGGGATGCAGCAAGTGAACCGGTAAGATGGTGTTGAAAGACAGTTATCATGAGCGCTTACCCTTACGAGGCAAACTTACGCTTATTCTTCATGAACTCTCTCCTCCCCATCATTTGAAGTTAAGGCTGGCTATCAGTTCAGGCCACACTTACTCCTTCACTTGCTTCTGTATTCATTTGCCGTACAGTCAGGCGTGTGAGAAAGGGGGTACGCGAACGCATACATACCTGGCCAAGTAGAGATGAGAACTGATTGATTTCGAATAATCTAGTCGTCGCAAAAAGCAGCCTTTTAGGCTGTCTACCAGGCACCAGTAAACGATAAGATGTGGTTATGTAGCCGCATCTGATGGACACAATACTTTCGGTCTACTTAGTTATTTTGAGTTAATGTGATTATGTTGGCATGAGGTTTTTGTGCATTGTGGTGTGTGTTCTGTTGACAGCCTTGTTTCTTTGTTGCCGTTTCTCCCTTTTCTGGCCCAAGGTCGGTGGTCCTTCTTGACTTTCGGCTTGTCGTCTCCTTCTAACTTTCGCATTGGATGTTTTAAGGTTAAGGTTTAGGGCTGCGGTTAAAGGTCAGGATTAAGGTTACGGGTTAGGGCTTAGAGTTAGGGGTTGGGGTTGGAGTTTGTGGTTAGGGATTAGGGTTAGGGGCGGGAGTTAGGGATTAGGGTTTGCATTCCAAATAACTTTCCTTTGTATGCAATTACTTGACCTCGTCGCCAACGCGTTCCCCGGCCCCACCTGTGAAAAGCCCTATTACCGTTGATCCCGTATTACATTTGGCTGGGGTTTGTTTACCTCAGGTACGGCTACATAACCACGTCTGACCCAGAAATCTACTCTAAAGACCTATGCTGACGGATGCTAGCGACTGCTAAGGTAGTGGGTATTAGGCCAGCGAATCCAGCGCTTTGCTGTCCGAAGAAGTTGGTGCAGGCCCTTTATATTTCGTGGCCGACACCGGCTCCAAATGACGACCTCACTCTGCCCCAACCCCCTTAATGTCAGTCGCGCACACCCTCCCCCAGGCTCAATGACAACAACAGGTCGACTTCCCCATGTGGATGGTGTGGGAGCGACAACCCTCACTAAACCCTGTCCACTGCGCACATCTTCATTCTCTGCGTTGTTTCAGTGGCCTAGTGATAAATGACCAAAAGCATGTGCTTGCCAATTGACTTTTCACATCACACACCCTTCGTACCTTCTAAACTTTTTTGGATACTCGACCCGCCAGTCAGTCGCATATGGAAGTATCATTCCTACACAGTCCGCGAAAATCTATAACTCAAGAGCCTGTCAACAGCGCAATCGGCCCGCACTGATGACCGTAGCACCAGCTGCCTCCCTTGGAAGCGCAGGGCAACTCATAGCCATGGAAACGGCCAGATCGTGTCATATGCAGCTCCCTTTGGTTCCGATCGAAGCAGGGAGGGGGGGTTAAGCCTGCACGTTGTATATTCAGCATTCTAACTTCCTGGTTTTGGCCTCGGAAAAAGTCCGCATTTTTCGCTGTTCTGAAGTGAACTGCGGACTCAGTCCTTCGAAGTCTCCGTCCGTTAATGCACTTGCTTCAAAGACCTCCCCTTGCTCTCCTCAACCATGCAAGTGACTTGGGTGTCAAACCGCCCGTCCCCCCGCCTGCTCTGTCGTGCGTGCGCGCGCGAGCGCACATAAACAAATGTCATCAGGACGACAGTAGCGGATGCAGCAGCGTCTGCGCGGTAGCACTCGCCGTGTCTTCTGTTTCACCTACGCACTCACTGGGCGGCCGGAGCGTCCTCATCAGAGGTGGGCCGTTGCAGCTGCAAGCGCGGCGAAAGGACGCGTGCTCGGCTGCGACTCCTGTACTCGACTGCATCCGGCTTACAGGTAAATAATAGTCAGGGCAGGGCACAGTGCCGACGAGGAACAGGCGAAAAAAACCAGCACCTGCGACCGCGGGGCCTGTCTGCCCGCTTGCTTGCTACTGGAGGAGACAAGTCTGTACATAATGTAAACAATGGAGGCTTGGGTGTGTGCGTGCATGCGTGAGAGAGCTGCTATAGATGTCCCCAGCGCCGGACGGCCGAGAGGGTGCGAGCATTGCTGTATGGAATCGGCGGCGTGAAAAGCACGGAACAATTTCCAGCACACACACGCACAACGCGTGCTGTAGCAGTTCCGTTTTTGCGTGCGCTGCCTGCAGGTCCTCATTTGTTTATGCTTTCTTTCTCGCGCTCTCGCACGAGCACGGACACACACCCAGTAGGTTCTGAACAGTGGCTAGAATGGAGGACTAAGGGCGGAAGGATCAATTGGAGGAGGCGGGGGGGGGGAGAAGCTGCTGCTAGTGGTAAAATGGACTGAAGACAGCCGTGAACGCGGCGGAGTGACCTGACATACATGCCCCAGTTTAAGCTCGCCACAGTCATCATCGCCCAGAATCCATTTACTCAGACGCCACACACCACAAACAAAAGGGGCTGTCACAACCGGATGGGCTGCCTGCATGAGTGCCCAGTTATCTCGTCAGTGCGTACAAGGCCGGCTCCCGATTTCTTGTTTTCTTTCTATCCTGAGTTTAACCCAGATCTATCCTACGTGCTCCGAAAGTTGACCTTTGGAAGGCTGACAACTGACAGACTACTTTGGTTCTCCTTCGGACCGAGGGTTTGGTTGCAGTGGGATCTTCTTAATCACGCCCTTATGACAGTTCTAAGAGCCGTGGGACCCCAGATGAATAAGGTTTACTTAGCCTTTATGGGAGACCAGAACATGTGCAGTACGTGTAGATAGAGAGCATCTATGCAGATCAGTTTGTGCGGCCATTATGTTGTGCAGTCATCTTGACCGTGATTGTAGCGGGTGTAGAGAGAGAGTGAGGTAGGTGTAATAAAAGTCCCCCCAACTCCAAAAAAATCACGCCTAATTCATCACTGCCTCAGTGGGGTGACGATAATTACCTTCGGTTAAGAAGTGTGGATTATCGGTGGTGGTGGTGGTGG